TCTTGTTTTCACCAACGGTAAGGTTCGGGAAGGCGAAATCCTCCAAAGCCATTAACCTCTGGAAAATGGGGAGCATGATCCCACTGCTCAAACTGGGGAAACCGGCCAACAAGGGGGAGTCTTATCGTCTGATAACTCTCCTTTTCCCGGTAGCGAGGACACTAGAGGCCTTGCTATTCCCGCACTACACAAACCAGCTGACCCCAGCGAGGCATCAGCATGGGTTCGGTAAAGTGCACAACACAAGCACTCAGAAAACACGTGGTCTAAATCGAAACCGCCCCTGTGAGAGAACAGTTCTCTCAAAGGCGTTTGCGCTACTAGAATACATTGGGGCTTCCTGGTGGTCGGGGAATAATCTCAGTGGTCGACATTTGTCAGCCATTTTTTAGAGACAAAACCAGCAAAGCGAGGATAATTAAACAGAAGGCTTGACAGGGTGGTGTCCTTTCCCCGCTGCTGGTTAATTTTTGTATAGTAGATGTGCTAAACGAGTACCCGGCATGCGGAGAGACACCCCATGACTCGAGTAATCTCTTGGCATGCCCACTAAATCCCACCCAACTAACGCCTGTCCCTATGGAGAAACCCCATCGAAGATGTACGCTTCCTGGGTATACCGTTAGTTTAGCTTGACGACACCGATTGAGGGGCTAGCCGATCTAGGTGGGGTTGTTTTAGCCACTACTACAACAACAACAACCACACTCAGCAGCGTTTCAGCGAGAGTGATAGAATACTTTCGTTGTTCAAAAAGATATCTTGAAAAAATGCATTAATGTGCTGACAAGAGATTGGCCAAGGCTAAGGGCCAAAATTCACAGTGCGTAGTCAACTCAGAATCGGCAGTTAACTACAGAATTTCAGTACAAAAATAATGGCCCTAAGAAGCAAATTAAAATATTATGGCTAGAATATATGTACATACAGATTTGAATTATGAGGTTTTTTAATTTATTATAGATTTTCATACTTACGAGTACTGGAGGTGGGGTCTAGCGGAGAAAATTTAAATAGCTACCCAGCCTATAATGAGTTTACATATTATGTACACATGTACATATCGCCCGCC